AATGTTCCAGTTCGCGATATTTTGGATAGACGCGATCTGGAGTTTATGCAACTCATATATGTTTTCTTGAAGAATATTAACCATAGATTGTAAGTTTGATTAACCTTGTGTTTAGTTTGTGTTTTGTATGTGTGTGTGTATTTTTTTTTTTGTAGATTTGTTTCTGTAAAAATTGTATAATTACAGAGTTGATATAACGTCGATAGGATTTAGTATTTGTTTTAGAAATAGTGAAAAAATTTGAATCATAAATCATATTCCAAATCTCCTTTTCCCTCTCCCGATCCAAACAATTGTCATCCACTAACCTCGAGAAGACCGCGAGTAATCGGTTCCAATCCTTTAATTTTAGATTTAAGACATTTATAATGTATAAAGAAAATGATAACTTGGCTCTGTAAAGTTTATTCGAATGAGCCTGTACAAATAAAGTAATTAACAAAAAAAAAAAAAATATAGCACTTGCAACTTTTCCGTCGATCATCGAATAAATGGCTTGCGCTGTAATGTGAAGCTCAATATTCTTAACCGTAACCACCACGGGTTCATCCTTGATTTGATTTATCTCGTAAAAAAATGCATCGAACATTTTCCGGGTTATGACATCCGTTTCTTTTGTCCAGCATAGAGAGCGGGGGCGGCAGAAATAATCCGATTGCGGGTTCGGATTCTGATAAATCGGTTCACCGGTTTTCTTCACCAGTTGCAATAGCATATAATTTTCTGAAAGCAGCGAATCGTCGTTACCAAGAATATTGGATTGATTGTAGTGGCTAAATCCAGTCGCTGAGTCAGGGCCTCCGGCAATCCTCACCACACAATCAATCGGTACGTTTCTGTAGTCGGCACAGAGTTCAAATATCTTGGATCTTACGTCATCCAGTTCGAGGACCCGTTCGACATCGTTCTTTATTAAATCCCAAACGGAAACGGAGGTCGACAGATAACCGTCTGCCCAATTCGGTGAAGAAAATGGTGGAATGATAGAATTGCTATATGAAATCATATCCGCCCAAGATATCAGATGTTTCATGCCGAATTCGTGTTTCATAAATTTGATGATACCTTGAATAAATTCATATAAATAGCTCTCTTAAAATTTACTGACAATTTGAGGTGCGACAGATACTAGAAACTATTTAATTAAGAAATTTGTTTCATTGTATAAGTGTTTAATTTAAAAAAAAACAAAAACTGATTTTAATACCTTGATACTTTGATTTGCTCAATCCAAGCCTGGTTTTCAGCATCAAAGACGATTCGGGAGATGGTTAAATCTTCTGGTACACCTCTGACGTATTCAACGTATTCTTCGCCCAGGACTCACCACAATTTCTCAACAATTTCAACATCTTCGTGAGTTTGCGTGCAGCAGCTTCTGCTGCTCTTAGCAGCTTATCTAAGGAATGATCACGGGCTAGCCGTTGACACATTTTAGATTTAGATTGTTCCGTAAGATCATTGAACTGGAGTCGTTTTCGTCCTACTTTTCGATATAGTGTGCTTTCAGAAACCGCCGAGGAAGAGTTGTAGTCGGACGTACTTGAACGGCTGTCGCTTATGCAGGATGGTGATGTTGTTCCAGAATTATTGAAAGGAGAAGCTGGTGATCCTGATTGTTTCAGCTTTAAATCAAAATCACAACAAGTTATTCTTCTGATTTTTTTTTCTCTAGGCGACATACCGTAAATACAGACTTAATCCATTTCGACTCCTTCTCGAAAAATCGTTTTTTGCATCCATGCTTCGACCAATAATATTTGAAGCTGCTAATCCATGCTTTCACTGTTGGCTGTTGGCTTGATATTTTTTTCTCGTTCCTTCCCTTTACGACATAAAAAACGTAATAATTCATCTTCGGATTGGTGTTGAAAAAATTTCGCGATGTCACCGTTAGAAATCATGATGATATCCGCTGGGCTGTTAAGAATTAATTGCAATCGATCGTGCTAAAACTTCTGTGATAAACACATATCGCACTTAAAAGTAGGCCAAGATATATTCTTATATCTTATAGTACTGGACATAAAAACGAAAACATCGTGATTTGATGTGTCGCATGTCCATGATCTGTCCGATCGAAAATTGGCCCATGGTATTCCAAAACATCCGGTAGTGGCCTAAGAGGTGGTCGGAGGTACTCTTTGAACAGATAATTTTGACATTTTATTAAAAAATAGTATGACACGATTCAAAAGTCTTCTTTTTTTTAGAAATTATTGTGATCTACCATACATTGAAAAAATTTACCCCATTTATATCCGGTATTACTCTGAAATCAAGTGCCCAATAACAGTTCGTCAGAAACATATCGATAATTAACAAATACAACTACAGTACCGGACAAAATAATAAGACCTCGTGATTTTTTTTCTCTTCAAAAAAATTTGATGAGCAATGAGCTGTAACTTTTCAGGACGGCTTCAACATTTCTGAAATGTTGATTGCTGGTACATCAACTATTCAAGTTATATCGGTATGGTTTTGAGTTTGGTTGGTTGAATTTGTATACAAAAACTGCGGGTTTTTAGGAGAGTTTACAGTGCCGATCGATATAATAGCAGATATAATTTTGTTCTCTTATGATCAATTGTGCTGAAGCCTTCTTCACAGAACTTTAAATTTTTGTAAAGCACCTGCTAGAAGTGGGATACTAGGGATTTTTTTTTAAATAAAAATAGTTTTAATTATTTGGATATGAACAAGATTGTTAAGAAAAAAGATCGTAGTTTTGCAGGACTGTTTACACGTTATGACAACTTCTACGGTCAATTTTCCGGAGGATATGGCCACTTTACCCCAAAATTTAAATTCTTCATTAAATTCGCTTTGATCTCTTAATTCTGAACAACATAGAAAAAATCTCAAGGTTCTAGCACAATTTTTATAATGTGACTACTTCATTGGTCAATCAAGATTATCCGGAGAATCAGGATATGGCCACTATATTCCAAAATATGTATTCCAAGTTAAATATGCTTTGATATCTTGATTCTGAACAATATAGAATAAACCGCAAGCATGTAGGACATGTTTTATAACGTGGTCACTTTATCGGTCAATCCAGATTATCCAGAGAACCAGAATATGACCACTATACCCCAAAATATAGTTTCCACATTAAATACGCTATGATCTTTTGATTCTGAACAACATAGAAACAATCGCAAGGTTCTAGCAAAATTTTTATAATTTTTATCGGTCAATCCAGATTATCCGGTGAACCAGGATATGGCCACCATATTCCAAAATATGTATTCCAAGTTAAATACGCTTTGATCTCTTGATTCTGAACAACATAGAAAAAATCGCAAGGTTCTAGGACATTTTTTATAATGTGGCCACTTGATCGGTCGTTCCGGATCCTCCTTTAGGCCCGTAGAGTTTTCCTGAGGGCGTATATGGTGTCTTTACACCATATATACTTAGTACTATCAATTTCCAGTAATATACGTTAAGTAAAGTCTAAAATTATGTCGAAAGATAGTGGAATTTCCTACATTACCGGGAACTCGGGTTGATCCCGGCCTTCTATCTCGGTACGCAAAAATCTCCGGCCAATGAGACCACAACCAATCGATTCAGGAGAGTTTTTCCTTTGAGAATATGTATAACATGTTGACTGAAACCGTTTGACAGCCGAGATATTCAATTTAGTCGCGGTTTTGTCATTTTTTGCCCACTGTACAACGTGGGGCTTTACGGGGTGTTTACATCTGTGCGGATTTACTCGCGCTAGTGTACTTGCCCAATAGCACGAATTTCAGTTGCTCCTGAAATTTCATGCTGGTTGACGTTGATGCCCTGTTTAGATTATGCTAGTGAGCTATTTTACTAGCAGCTAACTCATTAGCGCTAGTGAAATAGCATAAGTGTAAACACCCCATTAGGTAGTTATGAAACGTCGCTAGAACTATTTCACAGTCGCAGACTGTATATGAGCAAAGGCGGGCGCACACTTTTTTGTCTTTAGAGACATATTTCAAACCGCCGCGTACATCGTACGGGTTAGGCAAAGAAGTATGCGTTTGACTTTGTACTGTCGCATTAAGAGCCCTTAGCTCATTTTCATCAAATCGATTTTCAGTCTTCAACAAAGTTGTTTTGTATAGAATTTTCAATAGAAGTCCAAGATTTGGTGAAATTTGAGCTATATTTGGATTTTAAGTAAGCAGATGAATGGGATCGTTCCGTTTCCCATACATTTTCCCATACAAAATTTAAAATTCTCCCGCAAATCCAGATCATAACCAAATCCGTTCAAATTTGTCACAGCTTTTGGGGACCTCAATACGCATTGAAGAGCAGTGGGTAACAGGGGATTATAAAGATGACCCACCCTAATGCCCATTTATTTTAATTTCGAAGCATTTTGATTTCTGTTTTATCAAATAGTAATTTTTCGCCCTTTCGTAAACCTTTCATAACGCAAGTGAGCAATATGTGACGTTTGGAAATGTTATGCTCGAACTTAATCACGTCACTGGATTGAATTTCAATTCGTGCATGCATTCATCGCAAAAACCACCCCAATGGCGGCCTTTCATCAACGGTTCCCCGCTAGTCCGCCACCGTCTTAGTTAGTTCACAGTTCCACTCCGGTGGCTATGAAAAAGCTTTAAAATTTCAATTACTTGTGCACACGTCGTCACTACACGGTTGACAAATTTGTCATTATTCAGGAGAGCGACCGGAGTCCGTTCCCCTCCTCGCCATATCCATTCGGCTGCCAGCTCACAGCAGAAAAGGACAAACATTTTTTCGAGTAGCTACACACTGGCACCCTTCCCCGTTTTGTGAAACCCGTTCTAGCGAGGATGCTATCTCTCACCTCCCATCGGCTATTTGCTGACATGCTGCTTATTTATTTAAAGTATCACTAAATCCCTCTTCACCGAGAAGGGCGACTGGCTGCACCCTCCCGTGTCACTAATTACCGGTATTGCTGCGTAAAACCTTATCTGATTTTCGTTTTCCTCCTCTCTCTGATCTACTTTCAGGATTCGCCAGTGCCTTCTCGAGCCAGTTGCTCTACACCACGTACATCGACATTCGGCTGGCGAATGTCACCATCCAGCAGAACACCACCTGTTCGGTGGAGATCCTGGTCAAGGATCTGAACGAAGCGTCCGCCATGGACTTCTACTACGATCGGGGGTTGGTATGCTTCACCGAGCACAACTCCGAAACGATCCAGTGTGCCCAGATGCGGGACGGCCCATTGCAGGCCGTCAACAAAACAGCTGTGATAACCCACGGGCTGGACAAGCCCGAGGGTCTAGCGATAGATTGGTATACCGATAAGCTCTACTGGACTGACGGAGAGACGAACCGCATCGAGGTCGCCACACTCAACGGAAAGTTCCAGAAGGTGCTGTTCTGGAGCGATCTGGATCAGCCACGTGCCATAGCTCTAGTACCTGCCAGACGGTTCATGATCTGGACCGATTGGGGTGAAAGTCCAAAGATAGAACGTGCCAGCATGGACGGCGATCCTCAGTCGAGGGTGGTCCTGGTGCACGACCGGATATTCTGGCCCAACGGTTTGGCCGTTGATCTGGAAAGCGAACTGATCTACTGGGTCGATGGAAATCTGCACTTTCTGGACGTGATGAACCTCGACGGTAGCAATCGGAGAACCCTGGTCAACAACCTGGACTACCCGTATAGTCTAACCTTCGCCCCAAACTACCTCTTCTGGACCGACTGGCAGGATGGCACTCTTCACTACTACAACATAGCCACAGAGAAGCACGAAGAAATCATGGACAGTCCAGTCGTTCCGATCACCGTTCATGCGTGGGACCACCGCCTTCAACCGGCAGGGGACAACCCCTGTCGTAGAAACAATGGAAACTGCTCACATCTCTGCCTTCTATCAACCAACATGGCTGGGTACAGTTGCGCCTGTCCTACCGGGGTCAAACTACTCACCCGAACTCAGTGCGCCGATGGTCCTCAGGATATGCTATTCGTCGTGCAGCGAACTCAAATCAGCCGGATATCTCTGGATTCACCGGACTACACCAGCATCCAGCTGCAGCTAGGGAAAGTCCGCTACGCGATTGCGATCGATTACGATCCGGTGGAGAACTATATCTACTGGTCGGATGAGGGATCGAATGCTATCAAAAAGGTGCGACCCGATGGGACGGGAATGGTAGAGGTGGTCAACACGGAGATCCAAAGTCCGGACGGTTTAGCGGTGGATTGGTTGGCGCGTAATCTGTACTGGACCGACACGGGAACCGATCGGATACAGGTTTGTCGGTTGGATGGTTCCTTCCGAAGGGTGTTGATCTACGAACATCTGGAGGAACCACGAGCGATCGCGTTGGCGCCCACACTGGGCTGGATGTTCTGGAGCGATTGGAGCGAGAAGGATCCCAAGATCGAGCGGGCCTCGTTGGATGGGACGGAGCGGGTGTTGATCGTTCAGCAGAACCTCGGCTGGCCGAATGGAATCGCGCTGGATGTCGAGGCGAGGAAGATCTACTGGTGCGATGCCAAGCTGGATAGGATCGAGGTCGCCAACATGGACGGTTCGGGAAGGAATATAATCCTGTCGGATAATCTACCGCATGCCTTTGGATTGAGTATTTTGGGCGACTTCCTGTATTGGACGGATTGGCAGCGCAGGTCGATTGATCGTGCGAACAAACTGAACGGCAATGATCGTACGGTTATTGTGGAAGCATTTCCGGATTTGATGGGACTGAAAGTGGCCAAGTTGAACGAAGCAAAGGGCAGTAATCTTTGTGGTGTTCGCAATGGAGGTTGCTCCCAGCTGTGCCTTAATCGACCGAGAGATTACGTCTGTAGATGCCAGATCGATTACGAGTTGGATCGCGATAACCGAACTTGCTTCATCCCATCGGCGTTCCTTTTGTTTTCGAGACACGACACGGGCAGTATTGGAAGGATTTCGATCGATAGTCACAACCACACGGACTATGCTCCGTTCCGGAGCGTGATCGACGCACACTATCTGGACGTAGACATAGCTGATCGTAGGATCTACTGGGCTAGCCAGAAGCAGAAGCATATCTCCCGGGCGTACATCAATGGGTCCAACGTGGAGAAAATCGTCGAATCGGGTTTGATTCAACCGGAAGGGATCGCTGTCGATTGGTTAGCTCACAACATCTACTGGACGGATGCGGAAGCTCGTCGGATAGAGGTGGCTAGGCTTGACGGAAGCAGTCGGAGGATTCTAATTTGGAAGGGGATTGAGGAACCGAGGAATCTGATTCTGGAGCCTCGACGTGGGTTGATGTACTGGGCGGAATGGCCCTCGGATTCCATCCGGAGGGCTGTGATGGACGGGAGTGAGTTGAAAACGATCATTTCGGGAGCGAATCTAGCAACGGGATTAACACTGGATCCGGACACTCGACGCCTTTACTGGGCCTGCCAGAGTTCTCCAACGGCCATCGAATCCGCCGAGTGGGACGGCAGTAAACGTAAGGTCCTGGTCACGGCTGATTCCGACAACCCGTTCGTTCCGCACGCGGTCACCCTGTACAAAGACTACGTTTACTGGAGTGACTGGAATACCGGAGAAATCGAACGTGCCAACAAGACGACCGGTTACAATAGAACCATCGTTCATACGAACCTGAAGTATACCAACTCGCTGCTGGCCTTTCATCCGTTTCGTCAGTCCGGATCGAATCAATGCCGCACGAACAACGGAGGTTGTTCGCATCTGTGCCTTGCCCTGGGACAACGGAAGATGACCTGCGCGTGTCCAACGCACTACACCTTGACGGCAAATCGCGTATCCTGTAGTCCTCCGAAGAACTATATCATCTTCAGTCAGCGGAATTCCTTCGGACGGTTTATGCCGAATACGACGGATTCGCCAGATGTGCCGCTCCCTGTCACAGGCAAGAACATCCGGGCCGTGGAGTATGATGTTGTTACGCGTTACGTTTACTGGGTGAGTATTGACGTCGATCGGTGTGATCCGGAGGTGTTTATAATTTTTTGGGTTTTACAGATTGACGGTCGCGGTCCGATAATTCGGCGAGCGTTCGACAACGGAACCAGCGCAAAGGTGTTCATAGATCCGGCTTCGTCTCCGTTCGATATGGTCATTGATCCGATTGGACGCTTGCTGTTCTGGAGCTGTTCGCACACCAATACCATCAACATTACGAAGTAAGCTCTTGGGGTTGTAGAATCGTAGGTTGAAGATCATTTAATGTTGTTATTTTGACTTCCAGCTTGGACGGCGACATCGACCGGATCGGTAACGTGGACATCGGTAACTCGGAGAAGCCCCGTAGCCTGGCGCTGCACCCATCCAAGCGATTACTGTTCTGGACCGACGTCGGCACTGCCCAGTCCATCATCCGGGCCAAGTTGGACGGCACGCAGCGGAAGGAATTGGTTTCCCGACTGGAAGGTATTACCGCACTGGCACTGGATCCGCTGGCGAATCGACTGTTCTACGCCCACGGCAAACGTATCGACATGATGGACATCGATGGGAATGAGATGTAAGTTGTTTTCCCGCTTCCATGTGTAGTTTATAGGTTAATGGATGTCAATGTTCAATTTCAGCAAAACCCTGGTAGCCGAGCACATCAGCCTGGTGTCGTCGATTGCTGCCCTCAACGGGTACATCTACTGGTTGGACGAACGTCCCGGGATGGAGCGGATTTCCGTGAACGGTGAGAACCGTCGAACGGAGATTCAGAAGATACAGCACATTACGGATATTGTGGCTGTTTGGACGCCGGAAGCGAGGATGTTACGGAACCATACGTGCAACTCGGTGAGGGCCAAGTGCAGCCACATCTGTATCGGTGCGCCGGATGATGCCAAGGGAGAGGACGTTTGCGGTTGTCCCCAGGGGTTGATGTTGATGAAGGATCGTCGGAGTTGCGGAGCGCTGCCTGTTTGTGGGCCGGATCATTTCACGTGTGCGGCAACGTTCTCCAGCAATGCAATGGATGGGGACAATAATAAGGATTGTATTCCGGTGTCGTGGCGGTGCGACGGGCAGAAGGATTGTCCGGATCGATCGGATGAACTGGACTGTCCGGCCTGTCGGGCGGATCAGTTCAAGTGTCAATCCGGGGAATGCATCGATAAGCATTTGGTTTGCGATGGGACGACGCAGTGTTTGGACGGGTATGACGAAGCGGTTTGCTGTAAGAATCCGGAAGACTTCCAATGCCCGACGAGCAAGGTCTGCATCTCGTATCATAACGTGTGCGACGGAGATGAGCATTGTGCAAATGGGGAGGATGAAGCGCCGGAGATTTGTGCCGAGTATAACAATAGGAGGATAGTTCCAAGCGGAAGCAAAATCACCATGTTGATTGTAGTGGTCATAGCGGTAGCTGTAGTGTTCATAGTCGTCTACCTTCTGCAGACCTGTAGGTCTCGGTTCGGAGCGGGATCGTCGGAACCGAAGGAAGATCAAGCTGCTGCGCCTCTGTCACCTGGAGGCCTCAACAAGAACATCCGCGTATCGAAGCTGACCTCCGTGGCGGACGCTGTCCGGATGTCGACGCTCAACAGCCGCAACAGCGCCAACAGCTACGATCGGAACCACATAACTGGTGCTTCTAGCTCAACCACCAACGGTAGCAGCCTCATCGGCTATCCATTGAATCCTCCTCCATCACCGGCAACCACTGCTGGCTCCGCTAGGTACTCTTCCAACTACCATCCATACAAGCACTACAAAATCATCAATCAACCTCCTCCGCCAACGCCCTGCTCCACGGATGTCTGCGACGAGAGCGATTCCAACTATACGAGCAAAAGCGCTCGCAGTAGGGATCGCATCGGCGGAATGGGTGGTGGAGGAAGCCTCGGCGGTGGGGGAACCAGCAGCAGCAGTGGCCGCGGAGGTACCAGCGGCAAGTACAAACACAATAGCCACAGCGATCGGTACGACTCGGAACCGTATCCGCCGCCACCGACGCCGCGGTCACACTACCACAGCGACGTCGGCGGGATGCTTCCGGAAAGTTGTCCCCCCTCGCCGAGCTCGCGAAGTTCGACGTACTTTTCGCCACTACCTCCACCGCCTTCGCCGGTTCCGTCGCCCTCGAGGGGATACTCATAGCGGTAAGTTTTACAGATTAGCCGGAGCAGTTTTTGAGGTTAGGTTTGTGGCTATTTTTGTTATAGCAGATTATATAGGATATCTATATTCGGATAGTTTTATGTAAATATTTATTTACTCTCGACGCGGTTTTCAAAGTTTTACGATTAGCAATATTAGGCTTAAAGCGACCCCTCCTCACCTTTAAGCGCAGAGAAGTGCCTACATTTTTGAAGGTGGTTCACCTGCATTGCAAACATCTTGTCAGCAACATTATGACTTCCTCACCATGAACAGCCAATTAGAGTTAAACATTTAACCTTCCGTCTTCCAACGAGTTGAGAAATTCATTGCCCTTTTCGAAATTAGTGTTCGAACGGTTAACGAGAAAACAAGTGCCTATTAGCGATTATGTGGAATTTAGAACAAAAATTCGAAGCCTGTTTAGTAGATTTAGAGTTTAGGCAAAAACATCACTATTTTACTCGAGTTGATCGATTTTCATTTGTAAATACCTTTTACTAGCGGAAGGGACAAGCAAAACCCATCACTGAATTATGATTTCATGGCAACTACCTACTTGTATTACTTGTTGTACGATTCAGGGTACGATTTTCCGTTTGTCTGAAGCAATGAAGAGCACATTTTCCTCTAATCGCCCCAATTCTTCCTACTAGAATATTTTTGCATCAAAGCCCACCCCACCCTAACACGATGAACTCATTCTAGTGCGTGTGTATAGATCGTAGTTTTAGTTAAATAACCCTCGCAATATCTATTGTTTGTTTGGGTGTGTTCGGTAGCCGAACCAACATCCAACAAATCAACGTTCGATTTCTTCATCCTAATTTGTGTTATGTTATATCTACATGTATTTAATCGCACATTAAATACGGGAAAATGTGCTCACAAGACTGACTTTAGAAATACATATGAAAACCAACTGGCAGCAAACTAGAAATTTAGAGAAACCCTACCTTACAAACGAAGAGATGAACATGTGAACATGTGTGAATGTGTGTGTGTGTAAATTATAGCTAGCTACATTATAGCCATGTTTGCTACCAGCAAATCAAATGGGATGCCTCTAATCACGAGCTTACAACGAAAACAAAACGGAAATATGTAATTGTTAAAAGAAAAGAAAAAAAAATAGAAAACTTGTTTAAGAACAGATAGAGAGAGAGTATACAAGAGAATTATAGTTTTTTAATTGTTGTACAAAAAATATACAAAAATGATATCTTGAAAATCTTCTCCCGGTTGAATTAGTGAGTCCGAACGATTTCCTTTATATGTTAGTTTGTTATTCGCATAATCTTGAGCGAGATTGTCGAAATGTCTTCACATGTCTTCAGCGTTGCTTTTCAAATTTGCGAGTGGGTGAGGCTGTTCAATATTTCAGATTTACAAAACGAAGTCTTTGTAGAAGCTCAGCGAACATCGTAAATGTTCAGAAACATTTGTGGGAGTTCAGCAAACTTTTTAGAAGCTCTGCAAGAACCGTAGAAGTGCTTAAAATTTTATAGAAGATCAGTGAATTTTGTAGAGCTTCATTAAACTTCCATCGAACTTTAGAGGAATTTAATTAATTTTGTTTAACTTCGGGGAACTTTTTTAATGAGCTGATGGGATTTTTATTTAACTTCAGGGACATCGTAAAAATGCAGGCAACATTATATAAATTCATAAAACTCTGTACAGTGAAATGCCATAACTTCGCGAGTCGCATAACTCCGCGCATTTTTCCTACAATTTCTAATGGATGATGGTAAAGACCGGAACGCGCAAAAATTGGTCGACAAAAAAATCGTTTCTTTCAGTCAAAATGCATATCACAAAAATCTTCTTATTTTTCTTTTGGTAGTTCAATTCATATATTTAAAGGAAAAAATGTTCGTTCATTCTTTTCGTTTGCCAAATCCGAACTGCCGTGCCTTCCGCTTAACCCCTTCCATTAAATTTTGAACAGTGGTCTTATCGACCTTATTCGCCGCCGAACGCCAGTTAGATTTAAACTGCTGCTCGTTTTCCATGGATTTATTAGTTTTTTTGAGATTCCGTTTGACCAAGGCCCAATACCGTTCGATAGGGCGGAGTTCTGTATTGTTGGGAGGGTTGTGGTATTTGGGTACCACAACCACGTTGTTCGCATCGTACCACTTGATTGACTTTTTCCCATAGTGGCAGCTCGCTAAGTCCGGCCAGAACAGCACAGGTCTATTATGTTGCTTTAGGAATAGTAGCAGCCGCTTTTCCAGGCACTCCTTGACGTAGATCTCTAGATTGATGGTTCCCGTAGTTCCCTTTTCCTGATGCGGTATAAAACTCCTGTCTCAGAAGCTGCTTGAAATCCGCCTTCACATAAGTTTCGTCGTCAATGACGACACAGTCGAACTTTGTGAGCAGATTCGTATACAGCTTTCGGTACCGCTGCTTTACCGACGTGTTTTGATTGTACACCCCTATTCTGTATTTCGTTTCGAACGAAATTCTCATACAAAAAAATATTTTTTTGTATGAGAATTTCGTTCGAAACGAAATACAGAATAGGGGTGGTAATCTCGGTTCGCCACCTTCACCTTCTTAAACGTTGACAACCCGGCTCGTTTCTTGGCCCGCTGCACAGTAGTATGGGATACATTGAGCTTGCCAGCAACGTCCCGGATGGAGCGGTTAGGATTCCGCTTATATTTCACCGGCACCTTCTTCGTCGTCGCTGTCACGTCCGGATTACGATTGCCGCCGCTTCCAGGCTTCCTGGTGGTCAACAGACGATCTCTGAACACTTTTAAAACGTTTGTCACGGTCGATTTGGCCACATCCAGCAATTTTGCCAACTAGGCGTGTGAGAACGTCGGATTCTCTTGCTGCGCGAAAAAAATTTTGACACGCTGTTCCTCTTGCTTGGACGTCATTTTAAAAACTGGAGAGCAAACGGTGAAAACTCATCATAGCAACCATTGTATATACACTCAACTTTCAAATGCAGCATTTCATGTTTTTTATGCATTTTTAACAGAAATACACCAATTTTAAGTGGACCAATTTTTGCGCGTTCCAGACTTTATACCAAAGTTTTAAAAAATTTCCTGTCAAAATCGAGAGGCGATGAAAAATAGACTAATACATCATCATTAGGAACGCGCACGGTAAATATTTTGGAAACTTCGTAGTAATTCATGGAACTTTGTAAAAAATACCCACGGCTGAAAGTCTTAAAAAAAATAAAGAAAAATATATTGTGAAGAAGTGGAATCTTGGTAAAAGTCTCGGAAATTTTGTTAGAAGTTCAGGGAACATTGTTAAATTACAGGAAACCACACAGAAGTTCTTTTAATTTCAGGGCATTTGCGTTGAATTTTAATAAGCTAGCACTACTTCAGGGAATTCCGTACAAATTCAAGAACCTTTCTTGGGACTTCAGCAAACTTTGAAGTAATAACACAAAACGTAGAAGTACAGTGAAGTTTGCAGAAGTAAAGCGAGCTTCATAGTAGTTCATCGAATTACGTAGCAATTCGAAGAACTTTGTAAAATTTCATGAAGTGCAGGGAATTTTACGGAAGCTCAGTAAACGTCATAGTAGCTCAGACAATTCGGCAAAGTTCAGTGAACTTCAAAGATCTTCGTAACAGTTTAGGGAACTTCATATCAGTTTTCAGAGATCTTACTACAGAAAAGCTAACTGAACTTCCTGGAGGTTTTGGGAACTCCGTTTAATTCCAAGGAACTTCCCAGATATTCAAAAATATTTGTTGAAAAGGTTTGTGGTCCTCCCTTAGCTCAGTCGGTAAAGGCGCAGCTACAAAGCAAGACCATGCTGGAGGTGGCTGGGTTCGATTCCCGGTCCGGTCTAGGAATTTTTCGGGTTGGAAAATTTCTCGACTTCCCTGGGCAATAGAGTATGATCATAGAGGTAACTCTAAGACCAGAAGGTCCCGAAGATACGTGCTCAACTTTTTGGCTCAGCTCTGGTACTATCTTCGGTCCCAAGCTAATCGATTCACCCCTCGAAACATAGGAAAATCCACTAACCCCTCATTTTATGTGTCAAACTTTCATAGCGAATCAAAACAAACATAGTGTAGTACTGGAATTTATACTAGAATGGGGCACGTAAGTCGATTTGCTTGGGACCAATAGGCTAGTCAAGTAGTGAGCCAATTTAAAATCGTTAGTTTCGTATTGATTGTTGGTATGATTGTACTTGCCACACAATTATACTAATGCAGAAATGGTACAGGCATCGAAAGCCTCAATTAATAGCTGTGGAAATGCATCTAGAACACTAAGTTGAGAGCACGCAATAAGCTAATATGCGATATGCAATAAGCTTGAAATGCGAAGAAGAAGAAGAAGTTGTGGTCTTCCAGTAAGTTCAGAGAAGTGCATAGATTTTCCTTAGATCTTGTTAGATTTAAGAGAGCTTGCAAAAATATGAAACTTGAATGCTAAGGAAATTTTGTATATGTTCAGGGATCATTTTAAAAGTTGTAGAACATTTGAACAAGTTCAGCCAACTTGAAAGAAATTCGGTGAGCTTTGTAGAAGTTAAAAGAAGTTCTCGCAAGTTCAGGAAACTTCAAAGAGGCTAAGAGAACTTTTCATACGCTTAAGAAATTGCAAAGATATTCATGGAGCTTAGTTTGAGCTCATGCATCTGAGTATATGTTCAAGACATATTTTGAAAGTACAGGAATCTACGTAAAAATTCAGGAAACTTCGTTGATAATTACGGATTATCGATAAAAAAAACTATAATTTTCTCTAAATATGTTTCACGACTTCAAGTTGATCTAGTATTATTATGAAGATCTGCAATTGTAGGAAAATTCGAACACAGATAATCATCCACGACGGTTAGTTGATCAGCTGATCCAAGACTTTAGTAAAGTCCACCTTCAAGACTTCAGGCTGATCATGTATTATTCGTTGATCTAGATGAAGATCTGAACTGTTCAAATATTTGAATGGCGTCTATCATATATTCTCGCAAGATGATAAGACGGTCAGATAAAGGGTGGAACGGTCAAAAATTGGTCGACTCAATTTTTTTGATTTTTATTTAAAAAAAAACATTAAACACCCCGCAACAACAAAGAACCTCCACTAAAAGACAGCATCAGTTTCTACAACACGAATAAAGAAGTAGTTCCAGTACAGTGCATTGTCGATTATGGCGCAACGTGTAACGTTATTGGAGCAAATAATGCGAAACAGATTTTGAACGTGGAACAGTTGAAACTGGATTCAGAAAAGGCGAATTTGGGAGCATTCGGCGGTGCCTCTTACCTCTTGCGTACACAACGATGCTGGATACAACATGGTGTTCCACGTGGTGAATTTCGATCATATTCCGCTCTTGTCGTTGAAAACCTGCCTGAAACTCAATTTGATCCAGCTCTGTTTCACCGTTACAAATGACCAAACAGCCACAGCGCAGCAAATCATCGACAAATACGACAATGGACTTGGTAAGCGTGACGGCGACTTTCATCTCAAGGTGGATCACAGCGTGAAGCCGGTGGTACTGCAGCCACGCCGAATTCCTGTGACCTTGAGGAATGAGCTTCGAGAGACGCTAGCAGCGATGGAGACAGACGGGATCATTGTCGAAGAACCGAAAAACACAGATTGGGTGAGCAATCTCGTCCTGGTTAAGCGCAACAACAAGTTACGGGTATGCATTTACCCAACAGTTCTTAACCAAGCATTGAAACGTCTGCACTACCAAATGCCGACTGTGAATGAGTTGCTACCCGAAGTTTTTTCGACCGTAGATGCCAAATATGGATTTTGGCAAATCGGTTTGGAAGAAAGTTCCAAGCTGACCACTTTCTGGACACCGTTCGGACGCTATAGGTGGCTCCGAATGCCGTTCGGTAAATCGCCAGCTCCTGAAATTTTTCAGAAGAGGTTACACGAAGCCTTACATGGTCTAAAAGGTGTTCGAGCGTTGGCAGATGACATTTTGATCTTCGGATGTGGTGATGAAATCGAACAGTGTTAACAAGGATGCAGCAAAACAACATGAAGCTCAACAGTGAAAAGATTAAGCTGTGTATGGAAAAAGTGAAGTTCTTCGGTCATATTCTTACATCAACCGGTGTACAAGCCGATCCCGATAAGATCAGTAGCATCCTGGATATAAGCGCACCTTGGAACGCACCAGTAAAGATCAATCTTGGATTTGGACACAGGAGCACGAAAACACATTTCGGAATTTGAAGCAGTTGGT